CTTAGCAATAAAGGACTTTTCTTAATGTGGAGCCCAGAGGCATTCAAGAGTACACACTCCATGTTGTGTGATGTTTGCATTTTATGTGCATGTTTGTTTATGTTTCACAATAGCTAACTGGAGACATGAGACAAGTTGTTGAAATTCTATTGAATAAAGCGGTAGAATACAAATTATAAATCAAGGCCATAAAAATATAGATCAAAACTAAGGTAAAATAGGATTTGATTATAGAGCTATAATGTTCTACACATTGCTCTAAATATAATAACCCAACTTATTACAATTGTTTTTATAATCACAACTACTTTTTTAAATTAAAAATAAAAACAATCATGAAACTTTAGGCAAATTATTAAATAAATGAAATGCTGCTGACTTATACTTGTGAAAGATTTCCTACTCAGAGCCTACAACCAATAAACCCCAAATGTATTAAAGTGTGGGACAAGACTTTTCTGCTTAGACCTCAGGAAGAGTGGGTTGCTAATTGAGAAGGATATTGTTTTCCTAATTTCTTTCTCATTGAGTTCATTTTTGGTGCACAAAACACTACTGAGGTTTATGTGTTGATTTTGTATCCTGCTACATGGCTGAATTTGGTCGTTAGTTTTAGAATTATTTTGGTGGATTTTTTTGAGTCTTCTACATAAAGGACTAGGTCATTTGCAAGTAATGATAATCTGATTTCTTTCTTTCCAATGCATATTCCTTATATTTCTTTCTTTTGCCTGATTGCACAGGCTAATGTTTTAAGTACTCTGTTGAACAAGAGTGTTGATAGTGGACATCCTTGTGTTATTCCTATTTTAGAGGGAAAGTTTTCTGTTTCTCCCCACTTAAGAAAATGTTAGCCACTGATTTATCAAAAATGGCTTTTATCACATTGAGGTAAAGTTATTCTGTCCCTATTTTCTTCAGGGTTTTATCATGAATGGATGTGGATTTTGCCAAAGGTTTTTTTTTTTTGTATTATTGTGATTATCATGTGATTTTTCTCCTTGCTGATATTTGTGTGGTGTACTACTTTATTGATTTGTGTATGTTGAATCATCTTTGCATCACTGAGATGCAACCTACAAGGTCTTTTTGATAATTTGTTGCTTTTTTTGGGGGGGTACTGGGGATCAAACTCAGAACCTTGCACTTGCAAGGCAGGTATGATGTGGTTGAGCTAAATCTCCAGCCAATAATTTGTTGCATTCTATTTGCCAATATCTTATCTGTTTATTAAGAGATTGGCCTGTGGATTTCTTTTTTAGTTGGGTCTTTGTCTGGTTTTGACATAGGAGTAATACTGGCTTTCAGGAATGAGTTTGGAAGTACTCTTTCCCTTTCAATTTCATTAAAGAGTTTGAGGAGTATTAGGTTTAGATCTTCCCTGAAGTTCTTGTAGATTTTGATGGTAAATCCATCAGGTGTGGGGCTTTTCTTAGTGGTAGGTTTTTAATACTGACTCAATTTTATTGCTTGTTATTGGACTGTTCAGAATTCTTATGTCATCTTGGGTCAGTTTTGGTAGTTAATATGTCTAGGAATCTGCCCATTTCTTCAAGATTCTCCAATTTGTTAGAATATAATTTTTCATAATAGTTATGAATGACCTTTTGGGTTTTGGCAGAGTTCATAGTAATTCTGCCTTTTCCATTTTTAATTGCATTGATGTGAATCTTTTCTGTCCTTCTTTTGGGAAGTTTGGAAAAAACTTTGTCTACTTTGTTTATTCTTTGAAAAACAAACTCTTCAGTTAACTTTGTATCATTGGGGATATTTTAGCCTCAATTTATTAATTTTTGCTCTAATCTTTATGATTTCCCTCCTTATACGGGTTTGGACTGTTCTTGTTGAGTACTTTGAAGTGCTGTTTGAGCTCATTCTAATTTGAGAATTGACTTCAATGAAGTTCTGTCTTAGGACTGCTTTCATTATTATGTCTCATAGGTTCTGGTATGTTGTACTGGCATTGTCATTTGATTCTACGAATTGATTAATTTCTTTCTTGATTTCTTCTGTGACCCATTGAGTGCTCAAGAGTGTATTTTTGGGGTTTTTGTTTTTGTTTTGTTTTGGTACCAGGGGTCAAACTTGGGTCCTTGTGCATGCATACTGGGCAGTGGAACCACTGAGCTAAACCCCAGCCCAGGAGTGTGTTATTTAATGCCTAAGTATTTATATAATTTCTGTAGTTTCTTTTATGATTGATGTAGTGCAAAATGACCTGATAGCATACATGGGGTAATTTCATTTCCTTTGTATTTATTTAAGCAAGTTTTATGAGCTAGTATGTGGTCCACTTTAGAGAATGTTCTGTGTCCTACTAAGAATGTATATTCTGTTGTACTAGGGTAAAACACTCTATAGGTATCTAATTAAGTCCATTTATTCAAAGGCGCAGTTCAGCTCTAATATTTCTTTGTTGATTTTTTGTTTAGTTGATGTGTCTTTTTGTGAAAATGGAGTCACCCACCGTGATTTTATTGGTGTTTATTTGATCTTTTATGTTTATAGCATTTGTTTTATGAAGTTAGGTACCATGATTTCGGTGCATGTATATTTACAATTGTTAACTCCATCTGTTAAATTGTTCCTGAACTAATATGTAGTGATCTTTGTTTCTTCTGATCAGTTTTAGCTTGAAGTTTACTTTGTCTGAAATAAAATTTCTATCCCTGCTTACTTTTGGGGTCCTGGTACATGAAACACTGTTTTCCATCCTTTGATTTGTAGCCTTTGAATTTCCTTTTGGATTAGAAGAATATCTTTAATATAAGATTAATATAAGGGCCGGGTATTTAGCTCAGTGGTTCAGTGGCCTGCTTTGCAAGTGCAAGGACCCAAGTTCAATTCCCAGTACCAAAAAAAAAAGAAAGAAAAAAGATTAATATAAGATTATTTTTTAATGTAGTATAATATAAGATTATTGGATTCTGTTTGTTGATCCAGTCTGCTACTCTGTGTCTTTTAATTGGGGAGTTGAGACCATTTAGTTGTACGTTGTTACTGAAAGCTATTAATTTATTCCTGTCATCGTGTTCATTTTCTGTTGTTGACTCCTTTATTTTTATTTTCTTGTTTAACTACTTGCCTTGCCTAATGTATTAATTCCTTCTGATTTTTTGGCTCTGTTTGCTTCATTGTCTCTGCTTAGGATATTCTTGAGGTTTTTTGTTTGTGTTTGTTTGTTTGTTTGTTTGTTTTGGGTTTTTTTTTTTTTTGAGCCCTGGCTCAATGTTCATATATCCCTTGAAGTATTCTTTGTCATGGAATGTCCTTATTCCTCCATTAATTTGGAAGATAGTTTTACAAGATAATATTAGTCTAGACTAGAAGATGTTTACCTTTAGGGCTTGAAACACTTCACTCCAAGCTCTCCTGGCCTTTAGAGTTTGTGTTAATATAGCTGCTGTATTCCCAGTGGATTTAACTTTATATGTGTCTTTTTTGTTTTTGTTTTTGCTTTTCTCTAACAATGTTAAAGGTTCTTTTTGTTGGACATGTAGGACTATGATGTGTCATGAGTGTTAAGTATGATAACTACAGTTCTACACATTAGAAAATGAATGCTAAGATGTTAAATTAAAAACTTGCTAAACTCTTGAATGGTAGAACGGGGATTCTAACCTAAATGTACCTTGTACAGTATACTCTACAGTAACCAGTTTTCAGTTATATGAAGCAAGGTACAACTATATCAAACATGATTAAAAGAATAACAGGGCCGGGGATTTAGCTCAGCAGTTCGGTGGCCTGCCTTGCAAGCACAAGGACCTGAGTTCAATCCCCGGTACCAAAAAAAAAAAAAAAAGAATAACAGAGGCTACATACCTATGAGGACACAGGACTCCTCTGCTGTATCCACAAAGCACAGTTGAATGAATGAACAGTTACATGTTGGTTTTCAGACCTGGGATTCTTAGCTCTGCTTACACATTGGAATCATCCAGATACATTTTGAAACAGTCACATGTTAGAAACTTGCCCCATTCCCACCTACTGTCACCAGAAACTTGGGTAAGCATATGATTTTAAGTATCTATAGGCCATTCTCAGAATTAGCTGAGGAACTTAGTAAGACACAAATTTCTTGACTCCAGTCCCAAAATTTCTGCTCACTAGGCTGGGGTAGAGCTCTGACAGTCTACAGTTCTTACAAGTTTCCAGGTAATACTGATGCTGCTGGCCTGTAAATCATGCTATGAGAACTTCTGTCCTGGAAGATTGGCTATAAGGAACTAGATCTAAACATTTTTTCATAGGACTTAGAAGTTGTAGACAGACAGGTCAAAATAAACACTGAAGGCAGTGCAGGCTTCATGAACAGTTTCAGAACACCTTTGCCTGTTCATCTCATTGCTTTCAAAGTTTATTTATAGTGGCCTATATTTTAATCACCTAGAGAAAAACATTTCTTCATTCAGTTTGACTTTAAACTATTTGGGCCCATGACCGGTTTGTACCCTTTCCAATAATGTCTTCCTCTACCCAGGACTCTGACCTCATGTCCATACTGCCACAAGCAGAGTGATGGCATCCATGCCCAGGATTCTGGGGATCTTGCCTTGTAGAACCATCCTCCAGTTGTTCTCATTGGACTCTCTTCTTCCTTAAACTCATCTTGCACCAGCAGACCTGGCAACGAGAATGTTGGTAGTCTTTTTTTCTGGTTTTGAAAGGACCAAAGTTCCTGGTTTGATATTTACTCTTTGATTATGAAGAAATTATCAGATAGACTGATAAATAAATTTTCATTATCTCTAGCTGCAGCCAACAAAAATTAATAACAGGTCTTAAGTACTAATGAACACTGGGCTTTGGATGTAGAAATAAGCATTTGTATCTAGGTGACCAGCCTTGACCCTCCTAGTATTTGGTTTAGTTTTTTAGAGTAATTTCTATCCCAGGCCTGTTCCTTTTGTACCATTTATTTTGTATATTTTAAATTGTTTGGAGAGGAACTGCTCTAGTTTTACAATGGTGTTTTTTTTTCCCCCTCCTATTAGGTCCCTCTGCAATGCAATCAGCGTTTACTACCTCACCTGCAGCAAGTGTTCAGAAAACTGCACTGATGTTCTGTTTAGTAACAAGATTACCTTCTTAATGGACCTTCTGACATACCAGTTGACGGTATGTAACATGACTGCTTTAACTTAGAAGCAGTTAGGGTTTGAGTAATATTCCTTATAGAGAAAATGAAAAGATTAAAAGAAGAAAAGCTTAGAAGGGTAAAATAAGGACTAGTAGAGAGAGAAACCTCTAAAGTATTTGAAGAGTTTGTATTGGATTTGCCTAGGCTCTGGTGTTCAGTGGATAACAGACATGTAACACTTGCTGAGAACACAAGTTAATATGGTAGACTTGGCACTGGGAGCAGGTGGACTTAGTGCCAAACCTCCTAAGCCACAGGAATGAGTGCCATAGAAAGAGGAAAGCTGGGAAGGCCTCACAACCTTGCACCAGCTTAGTTAAAGAGTCAGTTTAAAAAGGATTTTTTATAGGTATTTAGATTATTTTAATTAAGAAACTCCTCTATCAGTAAAAGACAAACCAATTATACTTTTGAAATGGAAACAAGCAGGCGTTTGTCTCCTGAAATTTTACTTCAGTTCACAGATGTTGAAAGAGGTAAGCTTAAGCTCAGTGTAATATCCAAAGGTTTAAGTCTGTCAACTGCAGTCTCCAGAACAGAGCACTGAGGCCAGAAGTTTCCTGGGGAAGTTTCTGAGCCCCTGAGGTATTGGCACAACATCCTTGTAAAGTTACAAGTTTACAACATAGGAGATTTATTTTTCAGAACTGATTTACTTTTACTCAGCACACAATTGTAATAGCTCTTCCTTGAACTCTACTACACCTTTTGCTTCCTTTCTTACTCCCATCACTTCCTATATATTTGGAGACCTTAACTGAGGCATGGTTTCTTCATGAAATCTTCCCCAGCCTGACATTCTCCAAGTCCAGGTTAAGAATAGTTCTTGTGTGACTCTAGCCATTACATCTTTTGCAGAAGTGATTACTTTGAATTGTGGTTATTTATGTTTGCATTCCCCACAAGCCATAGGTTGATGAGGACAGCAGGTAACTTATCGTTGCTTCTGATCTCCTGAAAAGTCAAAACTATGACTACGAAGCCCTTAAAGGCAGGCAGTGACAGAGAAAGGGCACAGCAGTACAAAGGAACAGAGATGCAGCTCAGAGCTGTCACACAGCAGAGATGAAGGCAAGTTATAGGCTCGATTATATCTGATTTTATTCACAGAAGTCATTAGAGGACCTGAGATTTAGCTAAGTGGTGCCACTGCCTTTCTCGCAAGCACAAAGACCCGAGTTTGATCCCCTGCACCAAAAAAAAGAAGTCATTAGAATATGGATAAGACATGTTAGCACAAAATGCTTCAGAAATCATTGAAAGATGGCACAAGGAGTAAAGAGTTAACATTTGCTCTTTGGTTCATGTCTCAGATATTTTTATTTACATTGCCTCATTTACCTGTCAAAACAGCTTTGCAAAGTCATTGTTATCCTACTTCACAGATAAGGTAAGTTGGAGTCCCTGAAAGGTTGACTTTCCCAAGGCAACATAGATGTGAGTGACAAAGCTAGTAGTCAAACTGAGGGACGGTCTATATAATAGTTGATATTTTGATATTTTTTAAAATTTAGAATCATAAGAGACCAGGAAAAAAGTGAAAAGCTGTCACTGTATGGAGGAGAATAAGAGCACATAAATGTAATATAGGATCCTGGACCAGAAAATGACATTAGAAAGAAAACTGGGAAATTCAACTGAGGTCTATAAAATAGTTAACAGCCTAATATTAATTGTCTCCTTTCATTATTATACTGTGGCTTTGTAAGATGTTACCCACGGGGACACGGGACGAAGGGAACTTTCTACTATTATAACATATTTGTTGTTTTAAAATCATTTCAAATCAAGAATGCAAAACAAACTAGCTCCATGCCCTCCTGCTGTTCTGCACTGCATCAGCTTACTCTGAAACTTACTCTTTCTTGGTAATGGGAGAAGAGACATTACTTTGAATAGAGCAGGTAACTTTAAAATAAATAACATTTAAAATGTGAAGGAATGAGAGTGATGGCTTATAGAAAAAGTATTTTCTTTTTTTAGTCTCAGAAAATACTATTCTCATGAGAGAAATCATGAGACCATTCATTTATTCTCTTACTTAGTAACGATTATGTGCCTGCTATCTCCAGTTTCAGAGAAGCACAGTATCTAATCCCATACTTCCAGGAAATCCCCATACAGGAGTAGGAACAGACACAGATGATGTTTTCTCAGCTTGGGCTGCTATAACAAAATACTATAGCCTGGCTAGTTTATATTCAACAGGAATTTATTTTTCACTGTCCTAAAAGCTGGAAGCCCAAGGTTAAGATCCCTATATATAGTCAGGCTCCTGTGGCCTGTCCTAAAGACTTCAGACCTCTGCCTTCCTCCTGCATCTTCACATGGCACAGCAGAATGAGCTCACTATTGCTTTCTTCTTAAAAGGGCACTAATCCCATTCATGAGGTCCACCTCATGACCGAGTTACCTCAAAGCCCTGTGTCCACATAGCATCACATTGGCGGTTAAATGTCAGCATTCAGATTTGGGGAACACAAACTTCAAGTCCATAACACATGCATTCCACAGTGTAATGATAGTCTGCACAGATGCAGTGGGCACACAGAAGAGGATTTTTGGTGGCTCTGTCTGGGTTGTCACAGAGGAAGGACATCTAAGCTACTTCTTAACTCCTTATAAAAGCTATCATTTATTAAGTACCAGCCATGTGCCAGGAGCATGTGTGTACCTTGATTATTTTCTACTTCCTTGAAACCCCTAGTTTCCTTTGAATAATATATTCCCTTGCTTTTCACCTCAAGATTTCTTGATACTAAGAAAAAGCTTTTAATCTCTCAATCAAGGATTTCACCACATTCTATGTTTATTCTGCTCTGTGCATTTTGTTCATTTTGGAACTGGGATATAGGGACATTTGTTTGCCAAACACATTTTCTCCCTCCTTAATATGTGGCACTTCCTGGTTTTTTCAGTTCCCATTTGGCTCTGTATTCTGTAGCTGTTAATTCTGATGTTGCTGTTACGGTCAGTGGTACAGGAGGATATGTGTCCTGGCTTTGTATGGCTGGTGATAGTCATTTTATGTTTTTGGAAATCACTTGAGTACATTTTCATTTTTCTTACTAACTGGATTTAATGTACATTTTACTGAAATACGGACCACTGACTTGTTAGTTTGCCTTAAATAAGGGGTAAAAAATAGTTGCCAACACATTTTTCAGAAGGAATAGAGGAAAAACATAAAAGAAGCTAATAAAATGGGATCTGGCAGAAGTGATTATCAGGTACTTAAGCCTTTCTGTTTCTTGGTAAACCTAGAAGCTTGGAAGACATTTTTCTTACAATCTAGCTGCCTGGAGTTTATTTTATTTTAATTTTTTGTTCAAATGCCATGGTTACAGGAGTGACTGTAACAGTGTTTCTTTACTCTAGAAACCCACAGTTGAAAAGTAGAGAAAGTACACACATAAATATCATAGACACGCTGTGGACAGTTCTGTAATAATGTCATCAGAGCCAAGCAGCCCAGGCAACCTAGTAGAGTGCCTAGTACACAATGGGTGCTTGTTTAACACTTGATGAATGAATGAATGAATGAATGGGTGGATGGATGAATGAACAAACAGATTCCACCTTGGATGCTGAATCAGGTTTGAGAAAGAAACTGGATTTGATTATAACTGGAATATGAATAGAACTTTTGACAATTCTGGGTTTATTATTTTCACAAAATATAGATCAACATAAATAAAATCATATGTGTTTTTTTTGCAGTATAAATGTAAAGCAGGTTTAAAGATA